GAAAATTGCCGCGTTTATCTCCATTAGCGCCCTTCATCTCGGCGTTGATAACGCTGGGAAAGTTGTAGAAAACTATATTTTCCGTGGAAAACTATATTTTCCACAGAAAACCCTATTCTCTTTTAAATCGCGTGCTTTTGCCCCTTTCTGCGTCTCTCCACGCGCGTCCTTCGCGTTTGTTTTGTATTTACAACGAGGAGCTCAGATGAAGGTGGGATGCAAAACAGGGACTGAAATTCAGCTTAGCATATTCATTAATTTAAATACAGAATCCTCCCCGCCTCTCGACCGAAAAAAACCAACCGAGCAAACGCTGCGTATTTTCACATTTTAGGAGTAAAATGGGAAAATTTTAGTGCATCAGTAAAATAACTCTTCTTACTCTGCCATGCCCGTAAAAAGTTATCAGGCACTGAGACACCTCAGATGGCTTTAAAGCTGTGGTTTATAACAGCCATTTGCCCATATATATATATATATATGTGTGTGTGTGTGTGTTTGTGTGTGTGTTTCCCTTAAAACAGAAACGTAATTTAAATTCGGGATAATTTCAGACAAGAAAGAGGTAGCCGTGAAAAACACGGAATTAAAACAAAAAAAATTAAAAGAAAAAAAGAAAAAGGAAAGAAAAATAAGAAAACCACACACGAACTTGGCGTCAAAGGGCTTCAGCCCCAAACTCGGAACCCGAAAACCGTCCCCGCGTCCCTTTGGCAAAGGAAAAGAAGGAGGGAGAGGAGGGGAAGGAGGGGAAGATGAAGCTGCAAAGCCGCGGTGCGGAGGGGGGTAGAGGGGAGGGAGGGATGCGGGGGACCCCACGCCTGGCGCTCGTGATTCGGGGGCACCCGGCGCACCCCTGTCCCGGCAGCGGATTTGTCTCCCCCGGAGCACTCTCGGTTTAGTTGTTTCGGGTGTTTTTTCCCCAGTTTCTTTGCGTTTAACCGGGATGTAGCGATGGCAGTGCCCCGCTGGCCGCTCCATCCCCCGCCGCTCCCACCGACAGTCGCTTCCCCAGCTCCGGAGCGTTTCCAAAGGGGGAAAACCGAGGATCCCCCCGTGTCCTGTCATCGCCCCGGGGGGGGTGGGGGGTGTCCCGGGGGGGTCTCCCGGGGGATGCGGGGGTCGCAGTCTCTGTCGCGTTCTGGCGGGGATGGCCCGTGGCGGGCGCAGCTCCCGAGGGGGTGGCACTCCCCCTTCCCGGGGGTGTGCCGGGGGTCTCCTGGAAGTCTCCCGGGGGTCTCACGGGTGTCCCGGGGGTCTCACAAGGGTGTCCCGGGGGTCTCATAAAGGTGTCCCGGGGGTCTCACAAGGGTGTCCCGGGGATCTCATAAAGGTGTCCCGAGGGTCTCACAAGGGTGTCCCGGGGGTCTCATAAAGGTGTCCTGGGAGGCTCATGGGTGTCCCGAGGGTCTCACAAGGGTGTCCCGGGGGTCTCATGGGTCTTCTGGGGGTCTCACGGGTGTCCTGGGGGTCTCACGGGTGTCCCGGGGGTGTCCCGGGGGTCTCACAAGGGTGTCCCAGGGGTGTCCAGGGGGTCTCACCAGGGTGTCCCGGGGGTCTCCCAAGGGTGTCCCAGGGGTGTCCAGGGGTCTCTCAAGGGTGTCCTGGAGGTGTCCCGGGGGTGTCCCGGGGGTCTCCCCCCTGTCCCCCCCCGTCCCCCTCCTGCGGGACGCTGGCGCTCCGCGCGCCCCCTCCAGCGGCCGCGCCGGGAACTGCACCGAGCGCGGCCCCCGCGGGGTCCCGGCCCCGACCCCGCTCCGGGCGCGGCTCCTCCCGACAGGGGCGGTCCCGGGGGGGTCCCCCCGCCGCCACTCCCACCCACCCACCCTCCCACCCGCCCGCAGCTGCTGCCGCTGCCCTTCAAAGCCCGCCCGGCCGCCGCCGCGGCTGCTGCTGAGCTGGCGGGGACGGCGGAGGGGGAGGCGACCCGCGGGTGGCCGTGGGGAGGGGCGGGGAGATGCGGCAGGAGGAGAGTGTTGGGAGACTTGACGGAGGGAACCCCAAACCCGCGCCAGGAGCGCGGCGGGGACGGGCGGCGGCTCCGCCGAGGCGGCGGGAGAGGGTCGGGATCGCCACGATCCCAGTCTGGGTTATCCCCCCCGTTCCCAGCCCGGGTGATCGCCACGATCCCAGTCTGGGTTATCCCCCCCCGTTCCCAGCCCGGGTGATCGCCACGATCCCAGTCTGGGTTATCCCCCCCGTTCCCAGCCCGGGTGATCGCCACGATCCCAGTCTGGGTTGTCCCCCCCGTTCCCAGCCCGGGTGATTGCCACGATCCTAGACCGGGTGATCGCCCGTTCCCAGTCTGGGTTATCCTCCCGTTCCCAGCCCCGGTGACCGCCCCGCTCCCAGTCTGGATTACGCGACATTAGCGACCAGCACCAAAAAAAAAAAAAAAAAAAAGAAAAGAAAAAAGAAAGCAAGCCACCAAACCCAAAAACCCCCAACCCCGAGCCGGTCCGAAAGCACAGCCACGCCTCCCCGCGGCATCCTCGCCACCGGCTCCGCGGGGCCCAGACCGGCCGGCGGGGCAGCGATGATGCCCGTGCGGCTGTTCCCGGCTATTCCCGGCTATTCCCGGCCGTGGCGGAGGAGGGGTGGGAGGGATGTCCCCCGGCTGGGAGTCCGGTCCCCGGCACGCCGGGTGCGTGTCCGAGGGGCCGGGAGGCGGCGGTGGCTGTCCCGGGGATCCCCCCCCATCCGCGGGCAGGCAACGCCCCGGGGGCTGCGCGGCGAGAAGCGCGGCCGGCGGCGGACACGCGGCTGCGGCTCTGCGGGCACCTTGCGGGTGGAGGGGGGCGGTGGGTGAGCGACGGGCAAGCGGGGCCCGCGGGCAGAGCCGGGGGTAGCGCCTGAGCATCCCTCACCCCCGCCGGGGTGGGCGCGGAGCCCCCCGCGCGTGTCCGCGGTTCCCCGGGGTGGCGATGCCGGTGTCCCGGGGTGGCGGTGGCCGTGCCCCCGGGGTGGCGATGCCGGTGTCCCGCACACCCCGCGCCGGTTCCCGGAGCCCCCGTCCCGCGGCCGCGCCCCGTGCGGGCGTGATTGGCCGGTGCCCTCCCCCGTATGCAAAGCAGGCGGGGGAATGACATTCCCCGCACTCCTCCCGCCCGCACCGACTCGCTCCCGGCCGCCTCCATCCATCCCGGCCGCGGCGGGCGCCGGGCGGGACGCGGCACACGGGATACGGCACACGGGATACGGCACACGGGATACGGGACACGGGACCCCGCGCTCCCCACGCGTGAAGACCCCGCGATCTCTCCCCGCCGCGGGAATGCGCTTTCTCCGAGCACTCCTGTCGAACCCCGGCCGGCAACCTGTGGGCTGATCTTCTTCCCCCCGGCAACTTTCTGGGCTGATCGTCTTCCCCCGGCAACTTTTGGGTTGATCTTCTTCCCCCCGGCAACTCTCGGGTTGCTCTTCGCCGGTGCTTCCCGCCTGCCTTCTGCTCGTCGGGCTCCTCCGCCGCCTCCCTTTGCGGAAGGAAAGCTTTCACTCCTTCAACAGCAGTGATTTTGCTGGGTGTTTTTTTTTTCTTTTTTTTTTTTTTTTTTTAGCTGTGGCTGGCGGCTTTTGCTTTTCCGTGTCTCCGTGTGTCCGTGTGTGTGTGTGGGTGGGCTTTTTGGAGCAGGTTGGCCGTGTCCATCCCGCTGGACGAGAGAAAAGCCATGTTTCCGAGAGCAGGCTTCCACCTGCTGCGGGTTGTCTTCAACTATTTTTGCGTTTTTTTTTTTTTAATTGTTTGAAGTATGTTTATGTTGTGTGCGGTGTGTTTCCGATATTTTAGAGGAAGACTTTGGCTCAGATACACAAAAAAAAAAAAAAAGAGAGAGAGAGAATTGGCAATGAGTGCCGAAGTTGTTGCAGACTTGGTTTGACTGCTGAGGAGGACGTGAGTGGGAGAGAGAGAGCGCTGTTGCACACACAAAACCACAGAGAGAACCCACAATTTAACCAACATCCCCAAACCCAAGTTTTCGGCTGTGGACCTTTCAGCCTCAGAGCTTGCGATCGGCTGCGACCTTTCTTTAAGCCGATGAAAGGCGTTACACCAAAGATAGAGATTCGAAGCTTGAATGCAATGCCCTGAGCTTTTCTTTTTTCGCTTTTCTTTTTTTTTTTTTGCCTTTTTTTTTTTCTTTGCGCAAGAATAATCGAGAGGTCATGACACGACTACTCTTAGAGAAACGCCAACCAAACTACTGAAGCTCATTTTCAAGGCTGCTTAAAAAAAAAAAAAAAAAAAAGAAAAAACTCGCAGAGAACATTAATGGATTCCTGTTGTGTTTAAATTCTCTACAGATTATACTGTAAATATTTTATGAAGTCCGGTATATGTGTGTGTGGACGTGAATATATATACACAGTTGTAGCCAGCTGACCTTTGATCACAAAGTCTCGCTCTCGTACCGCCTTCTCTGAAGACAACCCCGAATTTCCCTCTCGAAAAGAGCCATTTTTTGCCCGCGGAAGGCGCCGGTGTGGTTTATTTTCTCTTGGGACTGTAGAGAAATCACCTGGAAGAAACCGGCAGGCGGCTGACAGGGAAGCCCAGGCTTTGCGCGTGTTTCTTGTTACTTGGTCGCCTCCCTTCTTTTTACTTTTTTTTTTTTCTTTTTTTCCCCTTGGGGAGTTTGGAATGAGCTTTCTCCCCGAGAACTTTTCGTGGCACGGCCGCGGACTCGATGCGCGGTAAAGCCCCGCACGGACGCCCCTTGGGTTTATCGGATTAACGTGTTTGTTCCGCCGCTCCAGGAAGCCAAGAGTTAAGTCTGGGCGCGCTCCCTCTATATCTCAGCAAAAAAAAAAAAAAAAAAAAAAAAAAAATTAACTTCGGGGACTGGCGTAGAAACGAGTTTCCCGCGGGTCCTCGGCCCGTCTCCGTTTATGTTGGTCCCCAGAGAGCGGCTCGCCGAAGAGTTCCGCTCGCCTCGCTGTTCTGTAAGAACTCCGTGGAGGTCCCTCACTCAAAAGGCTTGTTGTGATGCGTATCCCCGTAGATACCAGCACCAGCCGCCGCTTCACGCCGCCCTCCACCACGCTGAGCCCGGGGAAGATGAGCGAGCCGCTGGCGCTGCCCGGCGCCGAGCACGGCGGGGCTTTGCCGGGGAAGCTGCGCGGCGCCGACCGCAGCATGGTGGAGGTCCTGGCCGACCACCCCGGGGAGCTGGTGCGCACCGACAGCCCCAACTTCCTCTGCTCCGTGCTGCCCACCCACTGGCGCTGCAACAAGACGCTGCCCATCGCCTTCAAGGTACGTCCGCCCGAGCCCCCAAAACGGCGCGTCGGGGGGTAGGGGTGGCGAGGGGAGGGATGGAGGGATGGGGGGCAGCGTGTGCGCCCCGAGGATGGGGGGCACGGGGCGCTCCGAGCCGCGCCCGGGCAGGGACGGCTCGCTCCGGTGGTCCGGCTGCGCCTCCTTCCACCCTTCCTCCCATCCTTCCTTTCACCCTGACTTCCACCTTTCCTTCCAGCTTTCCTTCCAGCTTTCCTTCCAGCTTTCCTTCCACCTTTCCTCCCACCTTTCCTCCCACCTTTCCTCCCACCTTTCCTCCTACCTTTCCTCCCATCCTCCCATCCTTCCACCCATCCATCCGCCCTTCCATCCCTCTCTCCATCCTCCCTCTCCCGCCCGGGCTGCGGGCAGGAGCGAGCGCTGGCAGCTGAGGAATGCGATGGGCTGGGAAGGCTCTCTCCAGCCGCTGCCTCCCTGCTCTCCCCATTCATAACTCCGGCTCTGCTCAAGGGAGAGGGAAAAAAAAAAAAAAAAAAAAAAAAAAAAAAAAAAAAAAAAAAAAGAAAAAAAGCCAGAGCTGAGGAGTTTGGCTGCCCTGGGGACCAGATGCCGCAGCCCGCTGCAGACGGATGCAGGCGGCTGGGAGCTGAAGGAGCCCCCGGAGCTGAAGGAGCCCCGGGCTCGCCCAGAAGTCGCCCACGGCGGTGGCGGGTCCCTTTGCCACCCACGGGGGACACCCGCCCTCCTCCGCGGGCCCCGCTCGGGAGGCGCCGCGTTTCCCCTGCCAGGGGGGAAAAAAAACCATCAAACCAACCCACCAACAGTCCAAAACGCGTATTTCCTTTTTTTTTTTTTTTTTTTTTTTTTTTTTTAATTGGCTGTTTTTAATAATAGTAAAAAATCGAGGCCTAACCTTGGGCAGACCCTGCGGCCGCTCGGGGTTCTCCAGTTTCCAGAGTTCCTCGCTAAATCCGAGGAGAAAAGATGGGGAGGAGGGAAGGGGAGAGGGTATCCCGGCTCCCTCCTGTCACGGGCCGCCGGGACCCTGCCGAGCGGTGCCTCCCGGGTGCTTGTCGGGCTTTCCAGCCTTCCCGTTACCGGGGTTCGAGTAAAATTATCCTCCCCTCGGAGTAAAATTATCCTCCCCTCGGTCACGCTCTTTTTTTAACTCGGGTCTGTCGCTGACTTCTTGAACGCGCTGCTTTTCTTGCTCCTGCTGCAGATACGCTTCCGAGCAAGGAAAGGAAAAGGTAATTATTCTCGTTATCCTTTTATCCGAGGCGGGAGCCGCACAGACACGCAGCTGCCGAGGAGCCCCGGGGTTAGATTTAGGATGGGGATTTGTCGGGTTCGCGCTTTCTTTTGCGGTCACTCCCAAACCCCGACAGCCTCGGTACAACTTGGTGTTTGAAGGCCACCAGACTCGAGTCTTTTCCGACGGCTTTTTGGGGAGAGGAGAGACGAGGGAGAAGGGAATCAGCTCAGCTCCCGGAGCCTCGGGAAATCCCGCTGGCGAGGCGGCTTCGGGGCAAAGTTTTATTATGTCTGGTCTTCTTGTTTTACGCAGATAGGAGTCTGGGGAAAATGGGAGGAACTAATCGGCAGGGTCACTTCCTAAATTCCCACATTTAGATTAATTATTACACTGTTACCCACGCACTCGGCGGCTCCTGCTAATTGCTCGGGAAGTTCAGCTCCTGGAAGGCAGTGAAAAGCCGCTCCGCCCCGCCGGGAAGGGAGATAAGAGGAGTTCCCGGTGTTCCTTTTTTTCCTGGGGGATCCCTGTGGCCAAAGGCCACGGTGGCGGGTCCCCGCGGGGCCACTCGTGTCATTGTCCCATCCCTGGGCATCTCCCGGCGGGGACCGGGATGGAGAAGGCACAGGAGATGTGGCTCTTCCCGCTCCTGCCCGGCCGAGCCGGCAGCGATTTTGGGATTCTCCTCTGGAATGGGGGCTTTTGGAGGCAGGGACTGTCCCGGTTCTGTGGAAATTGCGGGAAGCAAAGCCAGGGGGTTTCGAGAGATGCCCAACGCTGCTCCCCCCCGCCGCGTTCACCGGCAACTTCTCCAGGAGTTTGTAACAGTGGGATAACTCAATACAAGAGAAAAATAATAAATCAAAACATCCCCCCCCAAAAAAAAAAAAAAAAAATAACGGGAAAAGGTTTCCTTTTGAGCCCCTGGAATGGTGGGCTGGGAGGCACCTGCTCCTCGTCTTCACCTCCCCCCAAAATTCTCTCTCCGTGGATTGCCCAGAAATGAGTCCTGGAATAATTTGCCACGTGTAAAACAAGCTTGTTGGGTTCACGCTAAATACTGAATATTCGCAAAGGCGTTTTTAAAAGTCGTGGGGTGTTGGTTTGTTTGGGGTTTTTTTCAGATGATTTGGACCAGGAATTAGAAAATTCGGGTCAGGTGGTTGCTTCGCATCTGACAAAAAAAGCGCTGAGTTTTATCAGGTGTTTGTTAACAGCCATTGCATGAACAAAAAGAGAGAGACGGAGAGTTTTCTCTTCGTGTTTCCCTAGAAAAATTCATTTGTGGTGTTTGATCGGGAGGTTGTTACAAACCAAAATTAAAATTTTTTTTATTTTAAAAAGCGCTTTTTTTTTCCTAAAAAAAAGAATGATTCTGAGAAACTTAAAAACTATTATATAACAGCTAACAAGTTGCTATAGAAATTCACTGTCCAACTGCTGTTAAGAAAGAATCTAAATCTTAATTTAAAAGGCCAGTTTGGTTTGACTGATGCGGGAGAAGTAGGTAATTTAGATACCCGACAGACCCGCAGTGCTGATACTCTTCTCGCTTCTCTGGCAACACATATTTTTTAGAGGTATAGAGTGCAACAAAGTCCTTGATAACTCCAGTCAGCAAGTCTCAGCTTATCTGTTTAGTCTGTTTTCTAATGTAAATGTTTGTATTTCTGTTCCTATTGTCTGGGACTTTTAACTCCAGTTTCTTTTCTGGGCTGTGGCAGCTTTGTACTTGTTTGGGATTTTTTTTCATGGAGGTGAGATTTGGAAACGGTGCTTTAAAATATTTGCTCTGGAAGGGCCAACTACCCCCAGATTCACAAAAATCTTTTGTGGACTCTCAAAATCCCGGAATATATTTCCTTAAATGAATGTGCAAACATTTGCATCGCAGGGCAATGCCCTGATTTTTCCCCTTTTTGGCCTTTCTTGTGCCTGGAATACAAGTGCTTGCATTAAGGTTTCACGGTGGTTTTTTTAAGAAGTGGGTGCCTTGGGTTGGAAGTTGATTGTGAGCCTGTGCAAGGAGAAGAGTGTGAGCTCAAGCATTTTGAGCAGGGACTAATTTAGGCCCAAATCAGGGAAATTTGGAAAGCCCAACGCTGAGCAGAGCACAGGCCCCAGGAACACGTTCTGGAACCCAGAGGAGAACAAAAAAAAACAACAGGCTGGGCCGGGGAGGAACGGGGAAGAGGAAGTTGAAATAGAGACGTAAAGAGGGAATTTTGACCCAGTGATTTGAAGTTTGCATGTGGAAGTGAAAATAAGGGTTACTGGGGACAAAAGGGAGAGCGCAGAAGTGAAAAACTCGGCCTCCCGTGGAAGGAAAGGCTGGGAAATACCTGAGACTGGAGGCTTCTCCCAAATCCTGGGAGGTGGCTGTGGCTGGGGAGTAAAAAATCAGGGATTGATGGAGCAAAGGAGCTGCTGATCCCCTTTTGGAAAGGACAAACGTGATTAGAAACCGAGAGAAATAAAACCAGGCCGTGACAAGCTTCAGCCGATTCTAACGGCCTGGATGTGAGCTAGAAAATTCTAAGAGGAAGGAAAAATATCAAGCTGCAGCTCAGAGGGCACGATGAAGGGCTGCTTCCTCTTAGAATGTGCAAAAGAGGAATTAAAAACTAGCTGGATTTTTTTAAATCTTTTTTTTTTTTAATTATCTGTGGTAAGAGTCATGCAGACTTAATTGAGGGAACAGCAATGGGGTGTAAAAACAAGATATAGGGGACCAAACCCAAGCTCTTATTTTTACCAGAGTGAATGGAGCATCCATTTGATTGCAGCAGGGTAAAACTGTTCAGAGGGTTCCATCCTGCTCAAGAAATTGCAGTAAAAATCAAATTTTTGATTGTTTGATCAGTGTGAACAGTGTAGATACAGGTCAGAACATTTAAGATCAGAAATCTTTTGGTCTCTCAGGTCGTTGCACCAAAAATTCAGTGAATCTTGTGTTCCTAAATGTTTTATTGATGCTGGCACCAAGGAGTTCCAACACAAGCATTTGGGGCCAGGTAAAGCCTTTGGCTGAGCCAGGGCAGATTTCCTTAGTTCAGATCACGATTTCCATCCATCAGGTGAGGCCTGAAGTCAATTATTCACTTTTAAAGGGGAAAAAAAGAAGTTGTTCACTAATTTGAGATGAAACATTTGATTGAGGCCTGATTTTCTATGGATTTACTCTGAATTTATTCTGGGACAGCTCTGTTAAGAGCTACTGCTGTAAATGAGACCAGCAGCAGGTCCTGTTCATGGGATTTATGTACTGAAAACTACAGATGTATGTTTTGGAAAGCTGATTTCACCTATTTTTCATCTCAGAGTACACATCTCGCTGGGTATTTCAGAGGCCCATCAGTGCAAAACTCTCCAGTCCAGTTGTTAAGAAAAACAGGGTTTGGAACGGTGGGAAACCCACGACGAGGAGTAAAAAAAGATGTGCCTTGAATAATATTTGTTGTGGTAATATCATAGATGCAATGATATATTAAAAAGAAATCACTCTCTTAGGTCCTTCAGGGAATTCAGGGAATGTGGGGAAGAACAGTGGAAAAGAGCTGGGAAGCATTTTAGTGCAGTAACAGGTCAACCACCAGCACTACTGACACCGCTCAGCAGTGAGCCTACACGTAACTTGTCTGCTCAGAGTTAAAATTCTACAATCAAAATTGAAAAAAAAACCCATTTGGCTTGATTAAACAACAACAAAGTGGACAAGGTTTTGGGGAAGGGGAGGATTCCCACTGCAGCAAAGTAGGAACGGAAACGACTCCCGTCTTCCCAAAAGAGCTTCTTAGACTTAGACTTCTTAAGACTTCTTAGACTTCTCCACCTAGATTTTTGCTGTTGCTCCTTTTTCCTCATTTTTTCTCCCAGCTGAGGGGGTCTTGCTCCTTGATTTCACAGGTGGTGGCCTTGGGGGACGTCCCTGACGGGACGCTGGTGACGGTGATGGCCGGGAACGACGAGAACTACTCGGCGGAGCTGCGGAACGCCACGGCCGCCATGAAGAACCAGGTGGCGCGGTTCAACGACCTCCGCTTCGTGGGCAGGAGCGGGAGAGGTACCTCTTTGCTCTCCGCTGCACCCCCCCTGCTCACCTGGGCACGGCAAATTCCCCGGGGTGGGCTCGCGGGGGCCGCTTCCGAAGGGTGGTTTTCCCTCGTTTCGCCGTCGCCCGTCCCCCGGCGTCGCTTCGGGTTTTTCGAACGGCGAAATCTCGGTTGGGGGGACAAAAAACAACAACAAAAAAAAATCAAAACCTCGCAGAAAGTGACATTTTGATTCCAGGAGCCGCCCCTGCTGGTTTACAGCAGCGTGGTGTTACCTGTGGTTAAGCTCAAGTGGCGTGTTTTGAGTTTAAAATGAGAATTTTCGTCTTCTGTAGGGACTCGCGATGGGGTTCCCCTTCTAGTTTCTGCAGCAGAGCGAGTCTCTCTCAATATTCCCTGCACAGTGCAAATATTTCCTGCGTAGATCTGAAAATTCTGCGGGTTCATCCTGACCTGCTGAAGGCACAGGGCATGTTTTCTGGCCTGTTTTCCCCTCAGGATGCACCAGTCCTGTTAGTTAATGCCTGCTGCAAAGTGGATGGGAGAGAGCAGCCAGAACAGAGGGGTTTGATACCTGACTTGCTCTATCTCTGCCATAACCAATAATTACTGGTATGTAAGTAAAAAGGCCTTTGGAGCATCAATAACAAACAGGATTTGGAGTTGACTTAGGCTGGGACTACTTAAAAATGTCATGTGGAAGCTGCAAACAGAACTCGACGCGTGCGGCTCACGCTGCCCGTGGGCGGGCAGGTGCATGGAGCTTGACCCAAAAAAAACCAACATAAAGACCCTTTGCAGCTTCACCCTTTGGCTCCAAGCCATCATCTTAAACCCCATAAATTCCAAGCCACCATGTTTACCGTCCCATTAGTTTATTTTAAGTGCTTCCCTTAAGGGGAGTTTGGGGAGGTTCGGTCAGACCCGCGGAAGAGAAGCCAGCGAGTTGTTGTTGCTCAGAGAGAGCTCAGAAGAAAGATCAGCTTCTCTCTCTTAAGGTCAAGGATGAAAAACTGTCACATCTCCCGTGTGACTTCATGTGATGTTTACTTATGTCTGTAAGTAAAACTGGCAGGTTTTCGTGGCGTTCCAAACACCGCGGTGTTATTCCAGGATGATTCGGTGCCGTAACGCTCACAGTTCCAAGTGAGAGCAGCTACTGCACTTCAGCAGGTTTCCTTTCAGAGCAACCTGTGTCTCTCAGAACCAGATGGAATGCTCCTCAGGGGTTGCTGATCCCTCCTGACCGTTTTCCCTTCCCTCTCTCCCCGTGTGAGCATCCGACCCGGCGCCCGCTGTGCGGTTGCCCGCGTGGCCCTTCGGGAGAGTTACAAGGGTGACCCACTTCTGCTCGCTCACTCCCCAAGTGTTTTGCTCCCCATGGGAGATGGGTCAGGCTTCTTCAGAGCGAGGAAGTGATGCTGATTATACACCACAGCCCTTATTTCCCTTTGAAGTGAAATGCAGCTGGAGATCCCCTTCCAATGTAAATACGGTCGCAACGGTGGCAGAGTGTGGCCCTGCCGAAACATCGGGCAAGCAGTAAATACTTTATAGGAATAAAACACCAACCCAGCTCCTCTGTCTCTCCTGCAGCATTTTTAGCTGAGGATACAGAGGCAGATGTCTTTCAAATTGTGTTGTTTGGGCCGTCTTCAAATGCACTCGGTGGAAAACACCCGCAGCTGAGAACGTAGCTTCATAATGCTAGCAAAGAATAATAATAGGGTAATGCAGAGAAAATTATATCCATTTACTGAAAACACGAGGGATGCTGTAATGTCTGAAAGTATCAGTCATTAAACGTGTTCATTTGTTATATTAAAGGTACCACCTTTTCAGTAAATGGAATTTGCATTATGATTCAGAGATGACTGTTTAGAAGATTCAAATGAATAGCTGGCAGAGTGGCGGAGAAGCTAATAAAAACAAACCTGTAGTTCAGTTCCTGGCCATGGTAATGAAGCTAGAAATCATAACAGTGAACTGTGTGAGCCTCAAGGTCAAAATCCAGCAGCTGAGAGAAAACAGTCCCTATTCATGCAGCAAAGCCTGTCAGGGAGCACCGTGGAGCCCCTTACCCTGCTAGGAGTGGTTGCCAGTAGCTGGTCACTCGCCCCCAAGACATAAACCTTGCCCGTGGTGTGATATCCAGGGGCTCAGGAGCCTTTAAGCAGTGGAGTGAGTTGGGAATGCTGCGTGCTATTAGTCAGGCTTGGAGGTTAAATCTCATCACCTGCACTGGCCGCCCATCTCTGGAGCAGTGACTAATGTATGCTTTTGTTTACTCCTGAACAGGGGATTGTTTTCCAAAGGTGGGGATTGTTTGCACTCAGTACGGGATTTCTGAGGTGCTGTTCTGTTGAATTTGTATAAAGCCTAAAGCAGAAGGTGGCTGCTTCAAAGGGCATTGCTTCCTTTGATACCTGGCTGGAGGAAAATTAACCCAAACTTTGTTTGCCGTGTAATATTTGAGCTCGGACAAGTTCAGCTGCCACCAGTGATAATGCCATGCCAGGAGCGTTGTGTGGGCAGTGGCTGAGAGTTCACGTTGGTTATGGGCAGAGTGGAGGCTCCTCGTGTCCAGCAGGTGATTTAAAATCACCTGGTGGAGAACAAGGAATGGCTTGGAGTGGTGACGGTTCCCTCTTCACCGATATCACCCCCCAGCCCCATTAAAATCCCATCGGAGCCAACAGTTCCCTCCCTTCTGAGCAGGAAATTCTCATTCTTGACACTCTTAATAACTAGTTTAAATTTCCTCCTGTGGGCCTTCAATGAAATCTAGCAAGGCAGCCTGTGTCATCCACATTTTCCTCCTGGATGAGGGAGGGTCACAGCAAGTCCCCCAGAGCAGGGGGATTTATTTCTCCCAACCGATATTTGGCACCAACCAAAACTTCAAAGCTCCCAAACCGAGTTTCAGCATCATTTTGTGTGGTTTCCCCGTGTTGCTCAGCCCATATTGCTGTTTAGAATTAAATTTAAAATCACCTGGTGGAGAACAAGGAATGGCTTGGAGTGGTGATGGTTCCCTCTTCACTCATATCACCCCCCAGCCCCATTAAAACCCCAACAGCAAACCACCGCTCCCTCCCTTCTGAGCAGGAAATTCTCATTCTTGACACCCTTAATAACTAGTTTAAATTTCCTCCTGTGGGCCTTCAATGAAATCCAGCCAGGCAGCCCGTGTCAGCCATTAAGGCATCATCCACATTTTCCTCCTGGATGAGGGAGGGTCACAGCAAGTCCCCCAGAGCAGGGGGATTTATTTCTCCCGACCGATATTTGGCACCAACCAAAACTTCAAAGCTCCCAAACCGAGTTTCAGCATCGTTTCGTGTGGTTGCCCCGTGTTGCTCAGCCCATTGTTGCTGTTTAGAATTAAAAAAAACCCCAAGCCCTTGATTTTTCCTGACCCCCAGAATGGGAGCTGAGATTGTCACGGGTCGCCCGAAACCTGGAGATGTTGTATAAAGGCAATTTGGCTCCTTTTCCTGAACAAAACAGATTTACACTGGGCTTGGCTGGGCTCCAGAGTGACTATTCCTCACCCTGTTTTGAGAATGCTACTGGGCAAACCTGCCTGTCTGGCTTGGAAGGGATTTCTGAAAGAAAAATGTCGTTTTTAAAGCTTGACCCCATTTAAGTCTCCCCCCCCCCCCCTTTCCTGATTACCTGGTTAAACCAAAATTAATCTCTATTTTTCGCCCTCCATTCATAAACACCTCAAGCTTCAAAATGCTGCTGCTGCTGCTGCAACGTATCCTGTTTTCTTAGTGTACAATGAACCGGTTTAGGTTGCTGTGATGAAACACATCTGATGCAAAAAAAGAAGTTCACCGGGTAAAATTAAAAATAAATAGTTATTTTGGAGAGGGAAAGCTCCGTGGCTTGGTGAGCACGACATATTTTCCTCATGGAATCACTAATCCCAGTTACTATCTATTCTTTGCGGGGCCGTAACATTCCAAAAACCCCAACAAATAAACATGTTTTCCAGATGAAAACGATTATTAATAGGTTATCATAATAGCAGCTAATGGAGAGGTGCCTTGGCTTGCTGCAGGAGATCTCAATCTCGAGCTGAGAGCTGGAGCTTTGTTTTTCAGCAAGGTCTTTTCAAAAGTGACTCTTGGAAAGGGCTGGAAATTAAGGCTCCCTATATATTTCCTACTATCTCTCAGGACTGGAGCAATGAGTCAGTTTTGTGGTGGTTTTCAGCCTCCACAGAGCCAGAGAAGGTGTAGCTGGAAGGAGAACACGAGGGAGGGATGTTACCAAGCACAGTCAGAAGTTTCTGCCATCAGGACTCTTCCTTCTGGATATAATTTTCAGGGGAAAAAAAAAACAAAAAACAATCAGTTTAAGCTGGAATCACAAAAATACATAAACCCCAGAAACTACTGGCCTGGATTCCGAGTCCAATTATTTTTATTGGTCTTCTGAAGACAGAATTTTGTTCCTTCTGTGCAGCTTCGCTTCGTGGCCGCGTTATTTGAGCATTTGGTTGAAATTTGGGGTGGTTTTATTTTTTTTTTTTTTTTTTGCTTGAACGCATTCAAAATCGTAAAAGTATGTGCAAAACAGGGGAGGATGCTATAAAATCAGTATTAAGCAGGCGTCCAGGTTCTGGTCCAAGCCTTTGGAATGTTTCAGGGGCCGTGGTATCAGATCCCGGAGTAACGACGAGCGGCGCTCGCCAGGCGGGGATGGAAACGGGAGAAACCCAAGGAAAAAGAGGCAGTTGATGGAGTTCCAAGACAACCACTTGTTTTTATGTTGGGTTGATAAGGATGTGGCATCAGCAGGATGGTACAGACAGCGGGAGGGCGGTTTGGCCACAGGGAGATGGGCGGTTCCTTTGGATATTGGGAAGGAATTCCTGGCTGTGAGGGTGAGGAGGTCCTGGCACAGGTTGCCCAGAAAAGCTGTGGCTGCCCCTGGATCCCTGGAAGTGTCCAAGGCCAGGTTGGAAGGGACTTGGAGCAACCTGGGCTGGTGGAAGGTG